TCTATCTATCTATCTATCTATCTATCTATCTATCTATCTGTCTATCTGTCTATCTGTCTATCCGTCTATCCGTGTATCCGTCTGTCCGTCTGTCCGTCTGTCCGTCCGTCCGTCCGTCCGTCTCTCTCTCTCGCAGGAGTCTAACTTGTTTTCTACTCACAAAGCAAATAATAAAGATAATCAGTTCAAATGAAAAGAGGAACCCGATTGGTTTAGGAGTGTGCTTGCAACCAAACGTGGTCCACAGTGAGGCAAAACTTCACAGAGGGTGCATCAGTCTGCTGCTTGTCAAACCAACTCAGGTGGGAGTCATAGGAAACTTCTCATACCAAATGTATATAAATAAGTGGTGATTTCTATTGTTATTTTAAAATCTTATTTCACTTTGATATTCTAATGTCAGCCACTGATTGCTCTGCTTCTTGCAAGCAAACACAAACATAGAACCAATTTGCAACTTATTTGTGGGATATTTTCATTTTATTTTTATAGCACAAGAAGAAGAGTCCTGTGGGTGGTTGATTGATGCATGGGGAGTGGTGGCGCAGAGGTTAGAGAAGATGGGCCTGTGATTGGAAAGTCGCAGGTTCAACTCCCCAGACTGACAACATCAAAATGTAGGTGGAAAAAGGTGAAACACCTACATCTGCCTCCACTCTCATTTGCCCCATTCTGGGCCCTTGAGCAAGGCCCTGAACCCCCATCATCTGCTCCCAAACAAGTTTCTCCTGAAAATGAGTTCTTGTGACTCAGTGAGACTACCTGTATAAATAAAAGGTAAATAAAAATTAAATAAATAAATATCATCCGTTTGGCACTCTGTCGTGTTTTTGAGGTCAAACAGTCACTAACGGTGTGCCACAAGGCTCAGTTTTAGGATCCACTCATCTTACAATTTATATAAGTAGGTCAAAAACATTCCTGAGGCCTCTTTGCATCTCTTTGCTGATGATACAATTGTCTCTTGCTGAGCTAACACAGTTGCCAAGGTTTTCCAGCTTCTACAGTCTGCGTTTGACATCATTCAGTCTGACTTGTTCCATCTCAAACTGGTACCATATGCAGATAAAACCAAGGGGGTGTTGTTTTCAAACAGAAAGCTGGTGCCAGCAGTTCTTCCTCTTATCTCATCCATGCATGGTGTTCCTATTGAGTTTGTGGATTCTTACAAATACCTGTGAAATTTAATTGATGCACATCTCTCTTTAAGGGCACATGTTGAAAACTTTATAAAGAAACTGAAATTGAAACTGGGTTTCTTTTTCAGAAATACATCTTGCTTAACTCTGAATGCTAGGAAATGTGTGGCAGCTGCTACTTTCTTACCAGCCATTGATTATGGATACATTATTTACATGAATGCCCCTGCCAGCTCCTTGCAGATGTTGGATGCTGTCTACCATGGGGCACTAAGGTTCAAAACTGGTTGTAACTACCGTACCCATCACTGCAATCATTGGCCAGTTGGTCATCATTATCTACACGTAGGCTCTCACACTGATACATCTTCATCTATAAATCCCTCCTTGGTTTGCTGCATTCTTATAGCTTCTCCGACATGTCATGCTGTCATTGCAGTTACAACGTGCGCTCTCAGGCCTTTATACCTTGTTTTATATGACACCTTGATTTGATTGTTATTATATCTACTATTTATTTAAAATTGTTTTTTTTTATTGTTGTATTTTGTTGTCTGTAGTTATACTTTGTCTGTCTAAAACAGGTCTCTCTTGAAAATGAGTCCTCGTGACTCAATGAGACCTGGATAAATAAAGGTTGAATGAAAAATAAACCCTCTCCCTGCCAAAGTCACATGCAGCATTATGGTCTCAGAAGACTTGAGTAGAGCCACCCATCTTTCAATACATCACGTGGAGATTTGATTCTAGCTTTTAGTCAGTCACACAGACAAACCTCATGACACACCTCTGCATTATTATAGGATTTTATGCAAATGTGTTTGTCAAAAACTGCACGAGTGTACAATTACAAAACATAAGCTACCAATTAGGAAAAGAAAGACCTTATCTGAGACGGTTAAAATAACAGATATTTTAGTAAGTTTTAAACAAAGTGCTGTAATGTAGGAGTACACACACCCAGCTTGTTTTAGAGCAGAACTGATGACTGACTTTAGATCCCATCCTCCTACATTTTTACACGCTGCACTCTTTCTATGTAAGTCTTGCTTTTGCATCAGATATTTCCCATGGATCCTTATCTCTTTCTGTGACATGTGTGTGTCTCTCTCTTTCCATTTGGGTAGAGACAGACTGAAAGGTCCTAAGGTTTCCTTCATATTCTCTCTCATTCGATTTGTGCAGCAGCCACTTCCTGTTTCACACTCATCTTCTGCATGATTAAATCTCGTAAAAAATCTATAACTTGATTTAGCTCATGATAAAATATATTATAGAACAGCAAATTTATATTAAAAAGTTGTCCTTTTTTATATCTAATGATCTCTCAACCATGTAAAATTAACATATATTTAAACGCAACAAAGCAAGTCACTGGTCTTTTTGTTCTTTTAGAATTTGCAAATTGTTGTCAAGTGTGCAACATATGTACAACATTTATTGTATTTCAGAGTTTTCCTGAATGTAAAGATAAGATCGGGTGTGCTCTGGCACTCACCAAGAAAGAAGGTGTCAGGAGCCTTATCAGCATTAAGGAGAGAAACGGTTTCAGGGTCAAAACGCAGCCATAGTCCCACTGCCAGAACAAACGATCCCATTAACTGAAGGGAGAAAGCCAAAGAAAATCACACATTAACTTTTATTACAAGATGTTAAAGGAAAACCTGAAAAGGAAGATAGAAGAAATGTGAAGCGCAAACGAATGCGCTCATAAATATGGCTCTTATTTTCACCCCTTCTTGCTTCCCACACTTTTGGTGAATGTATTCAGGGACAAACAGGTGAATGGCTGCATGTATTCAGGCACATGTTTTAAATATGAAGGGTTTTGTTGAAAGGTTATGGGCAAAAATATTTAAACTTTTATAGATTGCTCTTTGCATGACTTCAAGTTGAAGAAACAAAGTTTAATTGTGATAATATGACAAGTTAACAACTAGTCCAAGAGGGACAGGGCCCATAATGGATTGATGCCTTTTTAAAACAATTCCAGTCTCAAAACTTTTACTGCAGTTTGTGTGAATACTGTTTTATGACCCTTTATTATACAGTTAGGATCATTATACACTGATATTATGGCAAAAGTGTTATGATATTTCTGCAGGTGCTCCAGAGCTACAGCTTTCTGTTGCTGCCACTATATGTGCTTAAAACAATCATTAAATGCCTGTCAATAACCATATGATGCCTAATTGATGGCCATGTATAATTTTATGAATTGAGTTCACATAAACATTTATTCCAATTAAAATTAGAGCTATTTTAAGACAACAAGCATCCACTTTGGTCTTGGCCTCACTCAGACTAGCTATTGTCTGTTTCTACATGTTGAGTTATCTGGTAACAGGTAAGATATTGTTCTCAAACATTACACAGAACACCACTTCAGAAATCTAAACTATTGTTTTAACCATGTTTTTATATTTTACTAGTCCAATTGTTTAATCTTTTGCAGACAGCAGTGTTATTAAGCTAAATTATTAACAAAGTCAGGCTCAATATCATGGAATGAAAGTTGAATTATTGTACAGTAGCTACTACTGCAACAGTCTGCAGAAAATACCATTTATGTAACTTTAACCCCCACTCTTTCGTAATCACCGACTTTCCAGTGTGGAGAAAATGACGTGCTCGGTTGTGGTCAGCAGTGTGGCACCTCGTGTTGAGAAAAGAAGAAAATACTATGTAAGGAAACAGCTCGTCTTTTACTTGATTAAAGTCTCCATCGATTCACATTAAAAATTATTCATACTTGATTCTGACAAAAAAAAAGAAGCTTATTCTCAGTGTAAAAGCACTTTGTAAAATATGTTTCTTTTAAAAATAAATCCAAGATGCTTTCAAGGGTCAATGGTGACGTTTTACTGTTATAATTTGATTCTGAAAACATTCAAGCTGAGTTTGAGCACCAGCATTAGTCATCGTGTGTATGAGGGGAAGAAAAATGTGAAGAAACAAAAATTATATGAGAAATAAAATGGAGAGTATTTAGAAGCAGCTGCCACATGATGTATCTGTGACCTATAGCTAGGATTGAGGTGAACCACTGTTTGTGAATCCTTCAGCGATGCAAAAAAACTTTGAAAAAGAATAAGCAAAACTCTAAATAACCCGACGCTTTTTAACTTTGGGATCTTTTGTTTCCCAAATGTTTTCGGTATTTGTCTGGTTCTGCAATCTCCCTTTGCTTTCCTTTCCCCCATGTGTCTCGTATTCCATTCTTGCTGTCCACACTTCTTTCCTCCAGACGTTTGGGTTATAGTTTACCATGCTGCTCAGAAGTACAGCCAGTACCTCAGTTGTAAAGCATCAGAACGGGACAGGTGTTGGGAAGCCAGCTACCTCCCAAACTGAGGATTTAGTGTCATGTTTGGTGATGTATGGGACAGCTGAGCTTTGGGGGTTTTGGGATTAGCAGGTCCAAAGTGATAAAGCATAGAGCAGCAAAAGCTGCAGATCTGCAGATTTACGGATTGAGCTTGGATTAGAGTGGAAAGGAAGTCTGGAACTGTTCAAGGTTGGTATTTGAAAGAACATTTGATGGAGCAAGGTCCAAAAAGAAGAGTGTTGATGCTAAATGGATGAGTATGTGGTTGGTTAATGTTTGATAAGAGGTTTACCCCACAAGCAGCTGCCGTTACTGTTATTGTTAAAAGCCTTTTCAGAGCTAGCAGCTAATATGCTAAATGCATCCCCAACATCAGCACTTGTCAGCCCGCTCATCCCAGATGACCCATTAACACCCACCCTGCCTACATACCCTCCCTGCTCCACTCCCATTAACCTGCCACACCCCTCCCTTCTCCTTCCTGAACCGACCCACCCCTTGTGTTCATCAACCCCACCTCGCTTCCACTTCTCCCTCCCAATCCCCCCAGAGGACAAAGACCTACTGTGAAGCTCAAGTGCACAATATAGGAGCAAAAACCAACACAATAAACATGAATGTGAAACAGAGAGGGAAGAAGAAAACAAATCATTACAGACCATTCTTTTTTTTCTTTTTTTTGCAGACACAATTATGATCTACAAGAAAAATGAAGTGTAAACCTTTGATTCCTTTATGCAATTTAAAAAGACTAGCATAAATCATTTATAATTAGTTTTCAGGGCCAGTGCCTCTGATTGTGTCCAAATTTTCAAAAAGTGTGGATGAAAATAACTCTGTTGAAGCGTTATTAAAGTTGTGTTACGGTTTAAGGAGATTTTTTTTTTTAATGTGGCAGTTAAAGGGTGTTATTTTAAGGGGAATTTCCATGAGAACATGGGCAAAGCTCATACTCAGAACTGTGGTCACAGACAGTCTGTGGCACTTTGAAGGTTTGGAAAAAGAAGAAATAAGCTTTACTGTAAAATAGAGTTAAAAATAGTACAAGAAAGAAAAGATGTTTATAGACTTCTTAAAATCTTGTGGTAATTTAGGAGTGATTTAGGCTTTCTAAAGTAGTCCTCTGTCTTTCACGTGTTTGGACAAAGCACAATGCAGGGGCCCATTAAAAATGATGGGCAGATGGAGAGTGTAAATAGAAATGAGATAATTATGGGTGGAGTAAATCCCATTGTGCTCCGTGACAGGCTGTTGGTTCACACTGACCTCCACAATAAACTGGCAGGGCTGCTTGTAGAAACAATGTTTAGCAGCAGTACCCCTGAAGGTAGTGGATATTACCACAAACCTTTAAAATACTAATTTGTGTTTAACTGATATGCCTTGCAGCAAAAATGATAATAAAACATCAACAAACGAGAAAAATATGCACAAAATGTCTTTGTACAAGTTTGAGTTAGGGTGGATTCACAGAGACACCATGTTTTTTAGAGACTTTTTAGAAGAGTGTCCTGACGTATGCTCAATAATCCAGGTAGAAAAACCCAACAGGGTTGAGTCAGGTCTTCTGGATGGATTCTTCTTTGTTGAAACGTTTCGTCTTTTATCCAAAAGACTTCTTCAGTCTGAGGAGCTGCAACAAACTCAGTCTTATTCCGTTCAGAGGACCCGACTTAACCTTGCTAGACTTTCCCCATGCAACACCTAAAATAAAAAAGTATTTAAACGCTTTAATCCAGCTGTTGCATTCCTCTACTCTCTTACACCAACTAGCCGGTAAATGGACGGAGCGTGGCACCTTCTCTGTGTGTCCTTTCACACATGCAAACTTTACAGAATCAAAGCCTCAGTGTCCATGTGGCATGTCCCACTATGCTCTCTCTCACTCTCTCTCGCACACAGACACACACACACACACACGCACAATATAAATTGTGCTTTCTACAGCTGGCTTGAAGGTGCAACAGCTTCATGCTTCATGTTCTGAGGTTCAGCGATGTTACAGCGATCCTGTCATAAACAAGCTGTAATAAAGAGGCGATGATTCTTTTACACCGTATTTCTCATGAATGTTAGAAATATTCATTTTAAATATGACACAACATGACATTTCAACCTTTTGCTTTTAGTTATCGCCTGAATGACAACAGTTTGTTTAAAGTTTGGTGAACCTCATTACATTTCATTAAAACGTTGTCGTATTAAATCTAATCCTCTTTTTTTTAAAAAATTCTGAATAAAAAACACATTTGATGTTTGAAGGATGTGCTGCTTATTTGATTCATTACATTCACCATTTCATTCAATACTTATTAACTTAGTCAGCATTAAACTTAAAACTGAAACAGTAAGTATAAAAATGTGTTTACTCTTATGAACAATGAATATATGATGTTTTACTTATTAACAGAGCATAGTTCACATAATGCAGAAACTACTACTTATTATAACATGTGAGTATTTTTATTGTCATAGATGTCATACTATGGCGTAAAAATAGAAAATCAGTCCGACTTTTGGCAAAGACTCACACTATTTTTTTAATGTAATGTAACAAAGGACCAAAATCCCTGAAAGGCACTGGTGCTGACTTGCTAATAAAATGACAAAGTTGTGCAGTTCAACAAAATAATGCAACAAACAAAACAGGACAACAAAGCAAAGACAACTACTTCATTATGAAATACCTTGTTTGACTCGTACGACTCAAAAATAAATAATATACTGAACCAAAACACCACAATTCAGAAAAACTTAGGCAACATTTGCTTTTATTTGTTTTTGGCACAAGCTTAATTTTTAACCAAACAGGCCAATGCACTATGGCTCGAAAGGCCGGCACCGGAGATGATGTTTTTATATCAACTTTTCTGTCAAACCGAAAAAGTTACACACACCCTGTTACAAGATCTAAACTTTTGATTTAAATTAGGAGAATTGAGCATCAAAATGAAAAACAATATAAATCATGCACCCATAACTGCAGATCTAGTTTATCAGCATCTGGGTCAAATTCCTGCCAACTGTCCCTGCTGTGCCATGTGAGCGCACGAACATGCAAATATCCCCCTGGATCTCTCACTGACCCGTTTCTCTTTTATTCTGCGTCTGCAACACTCTGTGTCTGTGCTGCCAAGATTTCATCCTTTTTTTATTTATATTTTTAACAGGCAGGTTGTTTTTTTTTAAATCCTCTTACTCATCCTGTAGTCTCCAACATGATGATTAAAGGCCTCCATGAAGGAACACATATCACCTGTTGTCTTTCATGCCAGATTCTTAAACCACATTAAACCCATTAATCCAAAGGTTCACGAGATATTTTGCTAACAGGCAGGTCAGTTGAACACATGGGCAGCTGCATTCAAAGACCCCTGACAGGCTTTTAGCATCATACTGAAATTATGCCATTGTCCTGTTGTCACAATGGATGCATTCACGGTGCGCTCAGCGCCTGATCCACTGATCCACTCCACAGATGCTTGTTAGAGTCCCCCCCCCCCCCCACCCCCAACTACACAAATAAATTATGAGGAATGAGTGCAGTGGCACATCTAAATGGGAGCAAACAAAGGTAATTTGCAGAAACCGAACACGTGTTTTATGAGACAACTTCCTCCTGATCGATTCTGTGCTTTGAAAGCAGAGGAAGCGGAGGAGGGCGCGCGCTGTAATGCGCGTCAACAACTTTGCAGTTTGTAAGGCAACGCGGTGCGAGAAGCCAGCAGTTTATTTTCCATACTCTCCCCTCTCTCTCTCTGACTCTTCATTCAGTCTTCCTGTCAAAAACATGCTTACCCGGGGGGAAAAAGAGGGCGATTTTTTCCCCCCTTTCCTCTGTGGAAAATCCAGTTTGAGCCAAAACTACATAAAAAAAAACTAAAACGCAACAACCCTCAGACTGTCACAGTTTCTGCGCCTCGCAGGGCAGCCCTGACACGGACTATTTAAAGCATTAGGTCTGGCAGGGGGATTAAAAACGTAAAAGCCTGGATGCTCCAGAGGGAGTAAATATTCTGCTGCACTTGCTCAGCGTCGCATCACCTCCAAACAGCGGCGGCACGCGCGGCTCTACTTACCCAGAACAGGAAGTTGAACACGAACAAAATGTATTTCACGCACTTCATGCCTCCTTCCACCTTCCCCATGTCGGCTGGACGTTTTACCCCCACACAACAATTGTTCCACTGACTGCGCGCGACGTGACAATAACAGTCCACCCGGCGGCGCTTGCGCGTCAAGAAGCACCCTGTCTCCCCCTCACACACACCAACACACACAAACACGCACGCACAGGCGCGCGCACGCACAAAACACCGCAGTATCCGCTTAGACTCTTTCCAGACCGCCCCTTTCAATTCTGCAGAGGGTGGCTGAAGGGGGGTAGAGACTAGTCGATGGAACTGTTGATTTATATTCCCATTAGAAATAATACATATGATTAGACAAATCTGTTACATTTACCTTAAGAGTTTGCAACACCCTCATACAGTCTCTTCCCAAGTTTCCTTTTTCAACTGGAAATCTCTGTCAACGCAGGAAAACAAAAATACATTTCAATTCAGTTTATTTATATAGTGCCAAGTCACAAGAGAAGTCATCTCAGTGCACTGAACAGAATATAAAAAGTAAGTTAATAACATTATTTATCTGCTATGAGTTTAACTTCATCACATGACTCTCATCTTGAAAAAGCATAAAGGCAACAGTGGAAAGAAAAACTCCCTCATGAGGAAGAAACCGTTAGCAGAACCAGGATCAGGTCAAGCGGCCATCTGTTTCAATCAGCAATCTGAAGTTATACACAAACGCCCATGTATATGTGTGTTTGCTCCGTCTGAAATCCCCAACCATCTCCGTCATTTTCAGGTTGTTGTTTCTGCACCAGCTCTCCAGGTGTTCCACCTCCTGCCTGTAGCTGGACTCATCGTTGTTTGTAACACATCCAACCACCGCTGTATTGTCTGCAAACTTTACAATATGACAGCCTGGATAGGTGCACAATCATATGTGAGCAAAGTGAACAGGAGGGGGGCTCAACACACAGCCCTGAGGGGAGCCAGTGCTGAGGGTTATGGTGAAGGAGGAAAAGTTGTGGATAGTCTCAGACTGCAGTTTGTTGGTTAAGAAGTCCAGGACCCACTTGGTAGGGCTTTAGTCCTGGTGTGAGTATTTGTCCACTTGTTTCTGTCTCTGAGCACAAAGACAGTATTAAAACCTAATTAAAGCAGGCAGAAAGGACTCAGACAGACACAGAAACAGGGTGGGACCCAATGTTCAACATAAATATGTTCCACATAGAGAGCAGTGGGTTGAACATCCAAAGAGCACTTCATTTTTTATTAGAGGCAATTAGGCCTTGGTTAGAAAATGTCCTTATAAGAGGAACAAAGAGTTCAGCCAAACTGAGTGATGGAGGGAGGACAGAGTTATAGAGGCACAATGTGGGAAGGGGGGTGGGGAGGTAGACTTGATGCAAAAAAACCCGATAAGTCACCAATGTGTTTTCTGCATTCAGCCTTACAACTTAATGACCTAATAACAAAAGTTTGTGCTCTAAGAATGTCAGGGGAAATTGTGAAGAAGTGAGTGAAAACAGAAATGTTTAGTTTGGATGGCACCCAGAATAAAGGACAAGCTGATAAGACCACTGAGTCCCAGCTTGTAGGATGTGTTATGAGTGCCTCTGTTGCTATGTTGTTCCAAGAATGTGAGCAAAAACACAAAAAGGGCAAAGGTTATAGCCTTTGTGAGAATGAATACAAAAATAGCACCAACACACATACTAATGGCACATATTTAGAGCACATATGTTATGTTGACATACATACACTGATGTGTCATTTGCAAAGAAGCAGAAGTTCTAGGAAATATGTTGAAATCAATTGTGAGTTAATGTATTACTACTTGTTCTTTTACTTGGGACCTATTCAAGGTCTCAGATTATTATTGCCCGCCCTTGAAAGGCAAAGAAAATTTTGCCTGTGTATGTGCATGGGTCTGTGTGTCTTTTACCAAAACATCTCATGAACCTCTGGACATATTCTGATGAAACGTGAAGAAAGTAATCATCATCTACAACTGATTAGCTTTTGGAGTTCATCCAATTCAAGATGGCTGCTACAGCCAACCAACCTAAAACAGAAAAATGGCTCTGACTCAGTCAGATTTTGAGATATCAATCAACACTTTGGTGTGGCGGTAGCTGAGAGTCATTCACACTATTAGTCTGAGTGTGACACCTCACAATTCAATTCAATTCAATTCAGTTTATTTATATAGCGCCAAATCTCAACAAAGTGGTCTCAGGGCACTTTACAGGAACATCCACATACATAAAAGCCAGTTAGTAAAGTTCTCTATCTAAGGAATCCAGCAGACAAGTTGAATCTTGGCTTCGTTACAGTCTCCCATCCTGAGCAAGCACAATGGCAACAGTGGAAAGGAAAAACTCCCTTTTAACAGGAAGAAACCTCCAGCAGAACCAGGCTCAGGACAAGCGGCCATCTGCTTTGACCGGCTGGTTGAGAGGACAGGAAGGAGAGACAGACGAACACAGAATGATAGGTCCAGGTATAGGTGCAGGTGTATCTGAAAGACAAAAAAACACATGTTAAGGATAGAAAAAGTAATTACAAATACAAAACAGGTAGAGCAGAGTAAGTAAAGACAGTAGCAAAGTGAAAATTGTGGTCAGTTTGTCCTCCAGCAGTCTAAGCCTATAGCAGCATAACTAAGGGACAGCTCAGGAAACCCAAGCTGACCCTAACTATAGGATTTAGCTAAAAGGAAAGTCTTAAGCCCAGTTTTAAAACTGGATAATGCGTCAGCCTCACGGACAGAGATTGGAAGTTGGTTCCACAAGAGAGGAGCCTGATAACTGAAAGATCTGCCTCCCGATCTGTTTTTGTAAATTCTAGGAACCACAAGTGAACCTGCAGCCTGAGAACAAAGTGCTCTGTTAGGAAAATATGGAACAATAAGATCTGTAATATAAGATGGAGCCAGGTTGTTGAGAGCTTTGTAGGTTAGAAGTAAGATTTTGAATTCTATTCTGGATTTGACAAGAAGCCAATGGAGAGACACTAAAACTGGAGAGATATGGTCTCTCCTACTAACCCGAATAAGGAAGAAGCGGGTAAGATAATGGATGAATGGATGGATGGATGGATGGATGGATGGATGGATGGATGGATGGATGGATGGATGACACTTTACTGTGCTTTTGTGGCAGAGAAGCGCCATCTGCTGTGAAGTTGGTGCATTATCTTTAAGCAAGGGGTTTATTTTTTATCTATGCAGGATCCTGAATAATGGTCATATAGAGTACAAATCTGTGTTCAAACGATGTGTAGAAGTGTCTTTGGTCATCCGATACTACCTTAAATTAATCTGTGTATGTGTAGATAGTAGGAAAACTGTTAAAAAACAAAACATTCATATATCTTCAAATTCATCTTTACACTTATCCTTTACTCGCTAGTTAGTGTTTTATATATTAAAACTCTTTTTGTTGTATAATAAAGTAGAAAAAAGGCACTGTAATACCCCTTTTAGCTTTAGAAGCAAGAAGTTGTTTTAAATTAATTTCTGAAAACGTTTTAGATCAGAGAGTTTTGCCTTGATGAGATTTTGAGGCAGCACACAACTGTGCTTAAAACTCACTACAAATGGTTTGTGATATGTGACGCAGAGAATGAACCAGATACATGAGAGGGCGAAGATGGTGAGAGAAGAGTTTTAAAATGTACTAAGAAGGAGTGTTTTATTTTTGGACCACAAGAGGGTAATATTGCCTAGCCAAAAGAGCTTTGTTGAGTTTTGTGCTGTAAAACGTTTGTGTCCTCTATTATGCATACAAAAAATGCTCTGAATTATTGTTCTGTTATTTAAACTGATCTCTTTAGGCTTCATTGATCTTTTTCTTCTGTTCCCATTAGTGAACTTACAAGTGAAAATGTCCTCCTGGAAATCCCCCCTCCCTTTAATTTTAGGGGATGCACCACCCCTGATGTACATTCACACAGATATTTTGTTGCCTAAATATCGCTTCTTTCTTCTTTTGGTTGTTTCATTGTCAGGGGTCTCCACAGTGAGACATCCTCCTCCAGCTCACTCTGTCCTCTGCATCCTCTGCCCTCACTCCAACTACCTCCATGTCCTCTATTCATTCTCAACTGTCACTCTTCTGTAGATGTTCAAACCATCTCAGTCTGGCCTCTCTAACTTTATCTAGTTGTTCAAGCTGTACTGTGCCTCTGATAGTCCACCACCATCTGTCCTTCCTGGTTCCTTTCATTGACACCAAACCTACCCATCACTCCCTCATCTCCTCTGTTTCTTACACCCACCTGGCTATTCAAATCTGCTTCAATCACCACTTTCTTCTACCAGGGAAGCTCTATCACTTCATCTAGATCAGGGTTGTCAAACTCACTTACCAAAGGGGGCAACATTTAAACACTTTTCAAACTAATGGCCAATTTCAGAAACTAGATTAACTCAAATCAGATACTCAACAGCTTTTCTTGGTCACAGGCCTCAACAAGAGTTTGATTGGTTTCATTTGATGTCCTGTGCTTTCAACATCATAATCAAAGATTACTGAAAAAAATTCAAGAGATAGAAGTATTTTACGTTTCGATGTCAACGAGCGCCACATTTGGCCCCTGGGCCTTGAGTTTGACACATATGATCTAGAACCTTCCAGAACTTCTCTTTCTCCTTTGCCTTGCATCCAACCTATAGAACATAACCACTGACAACATTTAGCATTATAGCTTCTACTTCTCCCTCCAGACACATTGCCATATCTGGCACTCGTTTCACCTCTACTACATTCTTTGTAAACTCCTCCCTCAGGACCACCCCTACTCCATTTCTGTTCCTATCCACATCATGATAAATAGTGTGAACCCTGCCCCAATGTTGTGAGCCTTGCAGCCCCTCCATGTGGTTTCTTGCACAAATAGAATAATTACCTTCCTTCCCTGCATCACGTCAACCAGCTGTATACCTTTGCCTATCATTGTAGAGTTCTACCCTCAGTCTTAGACTCTTCTCCCTCAGTCTCCTGATACATTTCCCTCCTCGTAGTCTAACAGTAGCACAATTTCCTTGTGCTACTGTTGTCACCCTGTTTGTCAACATGGTTGTCATTGTTAACAAGTTGATCGAGCCAGTATGATGCTGTTTATATGAACTCGCATGTTTATTTTGGTGAAAGTGTTTTACTGTATGTCGGATGCCCTTCCTGACTCAACTCTCTCTTTACCTGTGCTTGGAACTGGCAGAAGACACTGGCTTGTGCCAGTTTGGCCGGTTTGCCTACAGATCACTTGATAAACATTTCTTCTTACTTTTCAGTTCTTCTAATGATATCATCCTTTAAATGTGCAAAGAGTTAACTTTAACCTTGAAAGCAAATTGATTTCCAGTTGTATTGCATTTAGTGTTTTTTTTAATGTTATGAGTGTCATTTTGATTTCCTACTTAGAAGTCATTGTAAATCTTTTTGCATATAATTTACTATCAAGTGCAACATTTGAAAAATAGTTGTTTTTTTTATCTTTCCTTGTTTTCTTTTGTGCAATTTATTTATTATGATAACAGTTTTAGTGTAATTTAAGTAGTTTTGATTGTGAAAGAAAACCTTAAAAAAATACAGTTATCTTGTGGCTTATTTATTGATTTGTAAGTTTTTAGTGATTTATTGAACATGCTCCAAATTTGTACAAGCATGGACTTTTGACATTTAGAGTGACTGACCCAAGTGACAAGAAACCTCCTAATACGAACGCAGTATGGTCAAAAAGGCGTTCACGTTTGTATTTTGAGAATAAAATTTCTTTCTTATAGGAAGAAACTCAAACAGCTTTTGTTTAGAAATTTCCTTTAGGTCAAACCTTTACTTTTAGATGTTCTGTATCAGACAACAAAAGGTCACCTGAAATTTAAAATAAGTCACTCTAAGTTTATTCCATTTTAAATTATTTGAGAAATCAGAAACTTCAACTTAAACATGTAGAGATATAAATTGTTTTCTTACCACCTTCTCAGTCATTTCAGTGCTTCTTGTGACCTCTTGTAGGAATTAAACCCTGAAGCTGTGTCGCTCAAATTCTGGATTAAATCAGTGGTTCAGATCTTTTGATGTGGGGTTCTGTGGAAAGCTTATAAACAAGTAATACTGTACCTGTTGCAGATCGCTCTTCGAAAGACCTTGGTTTGAAAAAGTAGAGCTTAAGTCTTACAAGACTGTCAAGCTAACATCTACTTTGAAGAACAGTGAATTCCTGCCCTCCTAAAACAGCTATAACCTCAAAAGTTTCATATTAGTTCATGAAAATGGTATATAGCATAAACTTTTACAATTTGTTGATTGTTATATTGCATGGCTGTTTACATAGAATAACTTTTCCTAACTACTAGCACAAATAGTAGCAACTAGCTTAGCAAGCTGGGGCACTTCCTGCAGAAATATCAAAACATTTCTGCCAAAATGAGTATTAATGCAAAACTGAGAGTGGTGCAAGGTTAAACCAAAACTGTAAACGTGCAGACTTTTAGGACAACTTGATGATATAAAAAGACAACACTGCGTTGAGAGGATTTACAAAAAAAAAAAAATAGTTATTCAATCTAATAAGAATAATAATCTGACAACAGAACATCTTAAAGCCAAATTCAGACTTTCAGTGTGTTAAACAGACATAAAATAAGACAAGCAAATAATGAAATGTTTAATAAATAACATGAACACAACAAAAATGACATCAACATTTAAAGCTCAAATTCCTTTTGTATATATACACATACTGTAAATACTTTCATATTTGACTGTATAAAATATAAATATGACATACAGTCCGTATAACTTAAAACAACCAGGACTTTTCTGACTGAGGTAGGGTCAGGGGGCTGAGGGGTTTAATAAAAGTGTGTGTTTTGTCTGTGTGCTGCTTGAAAACTGTGACCAGTAGGAGTGTGTGAGTCGAGGAGGAAAGGACTAGAGTATTGGCTTGGCAAGAAAGCTGCAGTGGCTGTTCGGTAAAAATGTGTGTGCGCTTTCATAGTCCAGAGGTCCAGAGTCATCCTCGTCAGTCAGTGCCCCAGTCTGTTGGGCCAAGACTTCCTGCTGAGAACACACACGCACGCAGCATTAATACGGATAAAACGCCAGGCTGTCCGTTCCTTGAAGACGGTCAGGGCACTTACAAATATGTGTGTGTTAGTGCAGTAGGAGTTCCAGTGGCGACTGTCAATGCCAAGACAACCTGAGTTGCCTGATTTGGAACCCTGTTTCCCACCTCGACCTCCGGGTCGTCCCCCGTTCACGGCCCCGAAGCCCCTGTGTGTGGGGGATCGACAGGTGGTCTCGTAGAAGAACTGTTTTTTTACCACGTTGTTGATTGTGACATTGGGGAGCACAGTAACCTCGTTTCCTGCTATGTCTGTGGCTCGTGTCAGGTTCCCCACCCAGGCGTTTATGCTGTCACACACAGAGTACTCTCCTCGATGCATGGTGTGTGATCCTGCTCTGCGCCTCACCCTCACCCCTCTGACGCCTTCAATGTCATAGTCTTCACCTTCCAGGGCATCGTGCGATGGGGGCACCTCACTAAAGACAACACGGGGTGAGGGGCGGTAATGTCTCTTAGAGAAGAGTTTGGGGTCCACCACTAGGCTTGAAGCATCAGGGGAGGCACCTGCTGAGGATCGTCCGAGGACAAGGCTCTTGTTCTGTGTATTTGAAGCTGCCCGATGTGGCCTCTTGGTCCTGTGATGGGTGGTCCTATGACTCTGCTGCAAAGTGTGGTCCTGTGAGAGGTGGTCCCTGGCTGCTGGCTCCTGCTGTCCTGCCCTGCGATTGGTTGTCCTGGTGCTCCGGGCCAATCCACCTCCCATGTTCAGTACAGCCTGGACGCCAATCAGGAGGAGCAGGACCAGTGGTGACGACCTCATGGGCACACGTCCTGAGTCGAGGACAGGGAAACAGTTTCAGTTTTAACATTAAGCTGCTCTGAGAATTCTCTCAACAAGCAAGACCTCTCAGACAAAGTAGACGTTTACCATGAATGGTCATTTATTTGATGTTGGTGGCACTTCATCTTAAAAGCTAAGAAGGTAATTGTAAAAGCACTTCGATTTAAGAATGACTTGTTGAAGCACTATAATCATCCAGGAAGGAGCTGTACTGTAAATTTATACAAGGTAAAGTTAAGAGGTGTTTTTGATGGGTTATTGCCGTAGAGTCACGGATGTTTTGGCTGTTTCACCATCTCAGAAACATTTCAGTCTTACTTTTGTTAGGTGTGTTTTGTTTCATGTGCTGCTGTCGTAGGTGTATATAAATACCTTTGGAATGTGTCCGGTTGAAGTGAGAGCCCTTGTGGACTCTAGAGCCAGACTCCAACAAAGGCCGGGCCCATCATGGTTGCCATCTGGACCCTCTGAATCACAGTTCTGCAACTCAAACACACAGAAACTAAGCACTTGTAGACATTTTACTTGAAGATAATGAAGTGCTGTCAATAAAATGTAAACATTTGTTTAAAAAGCTGGTTAAAGTTATAAAACATTAAAGCATGCTAAATCACAGAACTCTAGATCAATATTCCTAAAGAAATTAGGACTACCTGAACACCCCCAGTTTAGAAAAAGAGTTCGGTTCTGACCAGATAATTAGCTAACATATTGTCCGAATAGTGCCAGAACCAAAGTGGATTACTGCTGTCTCATAACAACTTTAAAATTTAAATAAAAATGATTCTAGACCTTTACAATGCCATTAATCACATGGATATTTTAGAACGATATCTCTACTGAAATTACTCCATGTTACGCTAGGAGTTTTATATAGCAAGGTGCTACTATTTTCCTTCACAAATAATCATAACATTCTATAAAAATTCATCCAACCTTTACTTATAAAGGTTAGACTCAATGAGTCACCAGGACTAATTTACAAAAGAGACATGTAAAATAAATATACCTGTAAAATAACCACATGATGCAAAACTGACGGAGATGTAAAGGTTTTAAAAATCGCATAAACACATACCCATACCATACCACTTTATTTTTAAAGCACTTAAAACAGTAACAAGGCCAACCAACCAAATTGCTGTACAGCAAAAACAAGCAAAAGACAGGATATAAACATAGGTCCAAATGGAAACAAAGATAATAACTAAAAGGCCAACATTGTAGAATACATACAGAATTATATCCAAGTTACCCAGTGTCAAAAGCCAGGGAATAAAAGTGGTTTTTTAAGCAAGACTTAAAATATAGTGGTGAGTCATTCCACAGTCTTGGACTTGCAACGGAGAAGGCCCTGTCACCTCTGAGTTTATGACAAGTTCCTGGAACCAACAGGAGCATCTGATCTGCTGACCTCAGAGATTGCTGTGGGACATATGGCTGCAGCAGATCAGCGAGATAAGCGGGGGCAGAACTGTTCAGAGATGTGAAAACATACAGAAGGATTTCTGTATACAATATGATGAGGACAAATTTGAAGTACGAGTTGTTAAAGATGTCAACAATCCACTTTGTACTTGCCTATTTCAAAGTAGCCTTTAGCTCATCAATACAGGCACAAACTATTTCTCCAAACAGCGGCTGTTCAAAGAACTACCTACAACAAGTAATTATTGTTCATAACCTTTCCATAGCATCCCATTTTAAAAGATCCGATCAATTTTGACCTAAGGGAACCACAGAAAACTAAATTATACTCTTACTTTTTGTAAATAGCAGAATGGACATACTAAATTCTCATCTCTTTAGACTTTCACAGTATTAGATTGAAATGTCTATTTTTACAGATGTACAATTGATCATTTTTTAACCTAAACTAATGACACCATGTTTAATTCTTAGAGCTCCAACGTGCCAAACATTGTTATGTAAGGAATTTCACACCTCATTAGATGCTAGGCACTATATTTATTGTCTAACACTAAATCATGAAACAGTGACAGAGGACGTGAACACATGCGTTCAGATCTAGCCATACCTGCAGTGACTATGCAAACATACACAACATGCATGAGCATGTAGGAATGCATGAGAGGCTGCTTTTGGGAATAGTTAGCATGCTTAGATAACGTGGTGTGTATGAATACACACTATGGTATCTCATGCAAACACTCAGTAAGTCACTGAGGTGAGTTGAAACTGACCTGTCAGGACTTCTGACATGTCTACGATGTTTGTAACATCCGTCGTGCTGGTACTGAGTTGGAATACCACAAAGTTTATGGATGCTGTAAATACGTAGGTAGCTCTGCATGTTTAATTTTATCACCAAGGCTGCTGCCGTCTGGTTGGATATAGAAAGGCTTAGGAAACATTTGGTGATTAATGGTAACCTAAGCCAAACTATTTCAAGTAACTTTCTGGAGCAATGAATCTTCTAGAAGGAACAAAACGATTCTTCTGCTTCATTCCTCTGCGTGCAGCAGAGAGTCATCCACAGGTGTCAGTGTTGCCTGCTTTTCTTTGTCTTCAGCAAGCAAAGACACAGTCAAGCAGCTGAAACTGATCAAAATGTCACTGGAATATTAACTATGCTGCTAGGGAGAGTTTTAGCCTTTTGAATCCTTGCTCAGGTATTTTCCCACAGGCTAAGAGTGTTCAAGGCCTAGAATTTTTTCTTAGAACCACATTTTCTACAACAGTACAAGGCAGTATGTGAAGCAGATAAAAATATCTTAGCCAAAATGTCTGTTATCCTCAGTTTAGCTTTGAGGAATATGAACTGTATTCGTAGCTTTTTCCCCACTTCGTTTCTGAAAAAATAAACGTCTTGATCAGTTCATCACAAATTAACTGTCAAGTATTTTTTACATAAGATAACTTTTTTTAATGCAAGGCTTGGGTATGAAAAAAGAAAAACTGTAGCAATGTTGTAATTTTGTTTTCAGGTTTGTAAATACTTGTTCAAATCCTGCCACAAGGTCATTTTGTATTCTGTCTGTGCAACAATCAAGCAATCTTGGGCCGATAGAAACTATCGTTTTGACACACTGATTTAACAGTGATTTTTTTTTTTTTCCTTCAGTAAACATAATCAAACACACTCAGCTTCACATATACACATTAAGGAGGTGGTCCAAACATACAGTGAGTTGACTGATCCAGGCTGACGGGCATCTCGCTGTTTCTATGGCCCAGGTTGAGCCCGGAGGATCCTCATGGTAAAAATATGTGGCTTGTGTTTAACAGGGCTGGAGCCAGCATAAACACTGCATCTCAGGAGCACAGGGGTCAGAGAGGTTTAGAGAACACCTCTGAGTTACAGGATTTCTTGGGCACTTACTCCACAATCTGCCTGTGTATTCCTCTGACCCTCACACACAAATACTGTACACGTAGTACCAAACACAAGCATACACAGCAATGCATACGTAAGGTTTGAGTTGCAAAGTCATTTAAATTTTATGCAGAAACAGTACATTAGCTGCACCCTAAAGTTAAGCGTATCTACTATAAAAAAATAACTTTTGTTCTTATGTATTCTGTTGGCTTTCTAAAGAGTGAAGTATGAAACCATTCATATTTCAATGACAAATTATTTCTATAGCACATAACAACAACAAAAACTGAGCAAAGTGCTTTACAGTTAAGGCAGATGAAAAAAAGTAAAAAATACATATTGTGCCACTCAAAAAACACAAAACAGTTAACAATAAAATACAACACACAAGTTGAGTTTTGACCAAACGATGTTTGGTCAAAACTCAGTCATGCTGCAGAACAATGACACCAAGCACAGCAGCAAATCTACAACAACAACAATAATAATAATAATTATCCATCCATCATCTTTACCCACTTCTTCCTTTTTAGGGAGTGGGAGTCACTGGTGTCCATATCCATCCATCGTTGTGTGAGGGGCGGGGTACACCCATGACAGGTCTCCAGTCCATCACAGGGACACATAGAGACAAAGGAGACAAACAACCATTCACTCTCTTACTCACACCTAGGGACAATTTAGAGTTACCAATCAGTCTAACATGAATGTTTTGGTCTGTGGGAGGAAACCGGAGTACCCAGAGAAAACCCACATATGAATGGCAGCACGGTGGCGCAACTGGTAGAGCTGCTGCCTCTCAGCGAGCAGGTCCCTGGTTCAAATTCCAGCCCGGGGGCCTTTCTGGGTGAAGTTTGCATGTTCTCTCTGTGCATGCGTGGGTTTTCTCCGGATACTCCAGTTTCCTCCCACAAACCAAAAACATGCATGTTAGGCTGACTGGTAACTCTCAATTGTCCCTAGGTGTGAGTGAGAGAGTGAATGGTTGTTTGTCTCTATGTGTCCCTGTGATGGACTTGTGACCTGTCCAGGGTGTACCCCGCCCCTCGCACAGTGATTGCTGGACATGGGCACCGGCGACCCCCATGACCCAAAAAAATAGAAGAAGCGGGTAAAAGATAATGGATGGATGGAATAATAATAATAATAATACTTACTTCTAACCTACAAAGCTCTCAACAACCTAGCTACATCTTATATTTGAGATCTTATTGTTCCATATTTTCCTAACTGAGCATGTCGTTCTCAGACTGCAGGCTTACTCACAGTTCCTAGAGTTTCCAAAAGCAGAATGGGAGGAAGATCTTTCAGTTATCAGGCTCCTCTCTTGTGGAACCAACTTCCAGTTTCTGTCAGTAAGGCTGACACATTGTCCAGTTTTAAAACTGGGCTTTAGACTTTCTTTTTTGATAAATCCTATAGTTAGGGTTGGCTTGTAATGCTGCCTTAAAATTAAGATTTGACAAATAAAGTTAACAAAGCATGATGACTTGTTGTGTTTCCTGACTTTCTTGGTTCTATTAACCAGAGAAGCTTCATGAATGGACATCCGACCCCAAATTTAGGGTCTTAATGATTTTCAGACACAAATCAAATTTAAAACATGATTGTCACATACATTTGTCATAACTGTTCCAAGAGCTAAGATTAAAACATAGTTACAAAGATTGTTTAGACACTTGGCGTTATTATGATCTTTTGTTGAATTGGCCTGAATTATTTAGCCAAAGATACCAACAATTGTTCTGCAATTATTATTTTGAGCACTACTATGTGTTAAAAGGTTTGGAGACAGGTGCTATTAGCTAATACATTTAGGGGTGTATTCATATGTCCACATAGTGTTTATGCATTTGGACACACATATGAAGTACTTTGTAAATATATTCAAGGTAAAAGTAACTCATGTTTGCTTAATGTCAAATTTGCTGAGTCAATTTGCTCAAATCAAATTATTATTTTATGTGTTTCATTTTCACAAAATACAATCATGCTGGCTTTAAATAATAATAATTAAAAAAAAAACTTTATAGTGAGTTTGAGAAGCTCCTTTAAAAGGAGTCTCTTTCCTCTTTGGTAACCAGGTTGAAAAAATAGAAACACAAACGCAAATGAGAGATGCCCTAAAGAACAAGAAAGC